TGGAGAGTTTAAAAATTTGAAACTAAATTTTCAGGGAATGGAAAAAGTTGGTAGGTGGAAGAAGAAGTCATTGTGATCATTCCTCATTACCATCATACAATATTTGAGTCTCCTATTGTCAGAACCCAATGTTACTTTTTAATTACACGTCAATAAAAATTGTCTTATGAATTTTGTTATAAATAAATAATTAAATGTGTATATTTAATGTGCATCACCTAGGGGTGGAATTATTATCCGGGATCCGAGATCCGATCCGTTATCCTTCGGAATCCCTCCGAAAATTAGAATATCCGGAGAGTCCGGATCCGGATAAAGATAGTAAAATTTATGATCTGTGAAAAGAGAATCCGGATCCGGATAGCAAAATTTTAAGGTCCGGATATACAGATCTGGATCCGGACGCATTGATGAAAGGACTTTTGTTCGGTTTATGAGTCAAACCTAGAATCACTAATTCAATGCAGTATAGTTAGGTTCGTTCAAAGGGACCAGCAATACACTCTGATCCTATGTGATACAAATTCAGCTAAGTGATCAAAGTGGTTTAAGTTGTCACGATTAATCAAGCAATTAAAGTAAATTCGGTGTAAACAAATGATATTAAAAGCATTAGGTTAAGGGAAAGTATCTCAGGGATTAGATCATCTAGAACCAAGAAATTATTTAGGTTATCAATTACGAACCTGAATAAATGAATAGAAAAGATAAGAGTTTAGAAAACTTTAACAAAAGGTGGAAGACAATCTTTAATCTCACAAAACTCTAAAAATAAAGTATCAATCTCTCATTCTCACTTGTATTCTCTTTCTTTCTGTCGTTCGGGCCCCTCCTCAAATCTCGAAGATATCTCTCATTTTAAAGGGGGCTTCGGCGGCTGGAATCGATTAGGGCAACTCTGGGTGGCGAAAATAGGTTTAATGAAAATTTCCAAAAGTGGATCTTCCGCGGAGCAGGTCGGCCGATCGGGAGCGGGTGCTCCTTATCTTCAGGATCTTCAAAAAGATTTCGTTTCCCTCTTTTTTCGCCAAGTCTCATTTCAAGTTTCAACCCTCCACTCCAACCACTTTTAGACCTAAAATGACTCAAAATAGAACGAAAGACTCGATAAAACCTACAAAACAAGGGTTAGAATGCGCCAAAAACGCATTATATCA